TGATCTAATAGTCATATTTGATACAGAGAGGAACATATCCTCTGGTGGCAACGAAAAAGAATGAAAAGTACATGTCGTGCCTGAAACGGAACCTGGGTGTGTAGAAAAACAAACAGGGGAAATGGGTGTGTGTGACAGACATGTGGACCAGAAAGCCAGACAGGTCAGTGCACTTCTGTATAGATTTTGGGAAGGTAAACACAGTCTCCAAATTTGACGCGTACCCAATGCCCAAAGTTGGTGACCTACAGGACAAGCTAGGGGGCACTGAATACCTATCCGCAATAGACCTAACCAAGGAGTACTGGCAAATTCCTGTGAGACTCCAAGATAGGGAGAAGACCGCTTTCTGCATCCCAAAAGGCTTGTATCAATTTGTAAAAATGCCATGTGGGCTGCATGGTGCAGCTGCAACATTTCAGCGACTTATGGACAAAGTATTAGCCCCAGTTCAGGATTGTGCAGCTGCATATATCGATGACATCATTGCTTTAGTCTTTTAACAAGTGTAGAGGCTCTTGCCAGAGTGCCATCCTCCCTCAAAAAGGAACAAGAGGCACAGACAGAGCCACCTGCACCACCCATCGAGACCAAACAGCAGGGAGTCAATACCCGGGAATTAGAGCAGGAACTGTCGAAGATGACAGTGGCCACCCAGACCGGGAGTGAATTGGCAAGAAGAGAGGAAAGAGGGAGGTCTGTCGTAGAGGTGGGAATGGGAGATATAAAAGGGGAGGTAGACGTAATACCAGGAGGCTAGGAACTGATATGGGTAGAAGACCTGTGAACTGGAAAGTGGGAAAAGGTACGGGTCCCCAGCGAAGAAGATGATTACCGGCGGAGAAGGGGACAATAGGAAGGACACACAGCGTCCTTCCTATTGGGGTGAGTCGGAAGCCAGAGACTAGCGTAGGTAGCTCAGGGAGGAAAAGGAGGTGGTAAACAGGGAGGAAAGAGAATGCCAGATATGTTGGCTAGAAGAAGCCCAGAGGAGGGGATACCTGATGGACCATGGACCTTTCTTTGAGGAGAGGAAGACCCTTATGAGTCAGAGAGGTGAGATGAAGAGACCACCCCATTATTAAACCCTGAGATAGAAAGTGTTAAAATGGAAAACAGTAGCCCGTTTTTGAAGGGACCTTGGGAGTACTTGAACTATAACCCTGTTGTTAAAGACGTTTGGATGCCCTCGCTGGACCCATTGGTGATGAGATAAAATGCAGACGTTGAATTTGAGCATACAGATTTGTCATTACAGGTTCCAATAAAACCCACTTATTATTTTTCAACATGAGTGTCTCCAGTGTCTCAGTTAAAACCAAGGGAGGCAAAGTACGAACCCTCACAGGAGGGAATGGATCTCTGTGGCACCTATGGTGCCTCTATTTGTATTCATATCCCCATGGATACAAATACGAATAGCCCATCTCTGTAAGTAGCCCACCAAGGAAACAGCTGAGAATGAGCAAAGGTATACAAAGGAGATGAAAAATCAGAACATCTGCTATACAAAATAACATTTCTTGGGGAGGGAGAGACAGATTTTCCTGGCTACCACTGCAATTATTTCATTCGTACATGTAAACTTTTAAAATAAAGTTTTTGCAATTGTTTGCACAGCATAGAACACAGAACTCATCAAGGTTCATCCTACACCATCTTTAAAGCACAATCATAAAAGAGACAATAGTGTGTTGCTTTGTATTGTTTCATAGTCCTTGCTAAACACTGAGCATCCAGATCACAGTAACACAAAACCATGGCAAACACCTTGACATTAAAATAAATATTTCTGGTACAAAACTAGAAAATAAACTTGCATCATTTTTAAACTCTTAACATTCTCACCCACTGGTCTGCTTATGGAAGTCACCGCTTTCTCTTCATCATGCTCAGCTCCATTCTTACATACACTTGGTTCAAAAAGGAACCAGCACTTGTCCATCCTCTGGTAAAGCAAGAAGAGTGGGCAATTATTTGTGCCAGCGAAGCTAAAGCCCCACGCTCAACCTCACAGGTCCCTTCTCCCAAGACTCACCCTGAGGATCAGACTGTAGCTCACTTGATCTTCCCCATCCTTTTGGTTTGCTCTTTGCCACCCTGCCGCATTCATATGACGTGCTGATGAGATGGTGTGCAATAAAATGGTTTATTAGAAATTAGTTACCAAGTACCAAAAAGATGGACAGAAGCTGAAAAAAACAAGTAAGGGCCAGATATAGGTTCTGTTTTCAGCTGGTCTTGAACTACCTCTCTTCCTCATTGACACTCCTTTCTTTTTTCTTCAGTCTTCACACTCAAATGTCACTGCCTCCTTCTGTGTTTCCCCTTAGCCGTATCTCTGTGGCCATGTTAGAACTGCTGCCTTGACCATTATACGAGATTGCCATCACCACAACAGATCTCCTACCCCTCCCCCATACCTTTGAAGTGGATGGAACAAGTGGGAAAACCCACTATGTCATGAGTTCTATGTCACATTATAAGGCCTAAGGATGGGAAAGTCACCAACCTGATAATGCCAGTCTCTAAAATAAAGACATAGAATCATGTCAGCTCTCATGGAAAAACTGCATTTGTGACATCTGCAGCCATTACTTTATTCTCCCACCCATGCCAAACTAGACATTACACCATTGACAGAATTAGTAAGTGCATAGATGTTAATACTGTATTCTTCTTTTTTAAAAGTAAGCAATAGGCCTGGCATGAGTGCTGTTCCAGACTGGAGGTAGATATGGCAATGCCTTCAACTCTTTCCCCGCACATGCCAGACTTTTAAAAATAAAATCGTGTGCTAATTAAAAGCTTCTAGTTGAGACACTCTGGTGCAAAATTAGCTCTATGGCAAGTTCCAAAGTACTAAACTCTGCCCCCTTCAAACACACCCCTAGAACAGAATAATACATGGAGATAGCAGGGAGAAAAAGGCTTGGGAACACATGGATTTTACCACTTCTGTTACCAGGACAAGCATTACATTATGTGACTGGCAGGAAAAACACTGGAACAATTAGTGTAGAACCAGGTACTTTTTATATGAATATGTACATGCTTTTGATATGCTCTCATTTAAGTTCAGATGTGCCTGTCACCTAGGGCAAGCTGCTAAGAAAACCTGAGGAATAAGAGCCTGATATTAAGTTTAACTAAGATTAACAACAAAATGGCTAGTATCTTCTCTATTAATCCTGATGCTCCATCATCTGTGAAGGGAAGATGGAAGTACATGTATTTATTTATAGAGTTGTCATGGTAAGTGGAATAGTATGGACTGTTAAATAGCATGACTCAAGAAATGAAAGCTCAAAGTCTGACTTATTCATTGTGGAAACACAGACAAATGTCTTGCTTTTGTGGAACTGAAATCCTGTCAACAACTTTTTATTTTCCCCAGAAGATGATAGCAAATGTCTCTGAGACAATGACTGCAAAATAGAGTGGTTACTTACCTGTAACTATGGTTCTTCTAGTGGTCCTCTGTGAATGCACAAAACTGGATAAAAACTGTGCTTCTGCTGGATCCTCAGAATATTCTAGAGCTGAAATGAAAGAAACATAGCCTCTAATGTGCATGCTCTACCCGCCTACAGCCTCAGTTCCACTTGTCCACCATAATGGGGAGGTTGGGCAGGATGTGTGGATTCACAAAGGACCACTAGAAGAACCATAGTTACAAGTAAGTAACCACTCTACGTGGCCTCTGTGAATCCACACAACTGGGTGACTGCCAAGCTCAGTTACTGGAAGGTGGGCCGTCACTCCCGTACTGAAGTAAGGACAGCTCTTCCAAACTTAGCTTCCTTTTTGGCCCTAAGATCCAGGTGATAATGTGTTACAAAGGTGGAAGGAGTAGACCACGTAGTTGTTCTGCAGATGTCCGAGACATCAATGCCTCTCATTAAGGCTGTTGAGGTTACCACAGATATAGTGGAATGCGCCTTAAGGTGGGGTCTTGCCTAATAGTTCGTACGCCAGAGTGATTGTAGAGGTGATCCACTGTGAAATTGTTTGTGAAGTCACAGCAGAATCTTTGTTAGGGCCTTGGAAACAAAGAAACAATCTGGATGAATTATGGAAGTCCTTAGTCCAAGATGTATAGAAAGCCAACGCGCGTCGAACATCTAAGGAATGGAGCATGCACTCAACATCTGAAGAAGGGTTAGGGAATAATTCTGGAAAAACTAACCATGAAGCATGAATCTTGTGTGGTCCACAGTGAGTCCCCCAGCCTGTTGGACTTGCATCTGTTGTTATTTGTGTCGTGAGCTGCAATGGACGGAATGGGGGTCCCATTAGAAAATTTGTTTTGGATGTCCACAATTTAGCTGTTCCGCCAGCTCGGGTGTGACTTGGAGATGCTTGGATGGATGATTTGTCATGGCATTGAAATGAAAAAGCTACCAGGCCTGGAGGGCCCGCATCTTTAGCCTGGCATGAGCAAGGGCAAACATTGTGGAGGCCATCAGACCGAGGAGATGTTGAGTGTGATGAGCAGATATTCTTGCGTATGGCCGAAGGGAACATACGGTTCTCTTTATCTGATACATTCGGGTGGAAGAAAGACCCTTGCTCTGACAGAGTCTAGATGTGCCCCTATATAATCTATGACTTGGATTGGTTGTAGGCAGGATTTGTCTCTGTTGAGTTCTAGGCTGAGGGCTGTCAGGGTCTGGAAAACAAACTCGGTGTCTAGTAGGGCTTTGAGGTGCCCTACGGTGCCCTATGGTGCCCTACGGTGGGGCTACTATTAGCCAATTATCGATACTGTATATGGAAATATAACAATGTTGTGAAGCCAGAGGTAAACAGCTATCGGTGCCATGCATTAGGTAAATGTTCTTGGGGCCGTGGACAATCCAGAAGGAAGGGCACAGAATTGATAGGGCATATCTACGAAGAAAAAAGAAAGGTATTTTTGATAACGTGGGTGAATGGAGATATGAAAGTCAGCATCCTTTAAATCAATAACGACAAACCAATCTTTTCTTTTCAGGAGATGAATGATGGACTCTAGAGTGACCATCCGAAAGCGTCTTGATTGAACAGAAGTATTCAGCAGCCTGAGATCGAGAATAGGTCTGAGGCTGCCATCCTTTTTGGGTACCACGAAATAGCGGGAGTAAAAACCTCTTAATATGTCACGGAAAGCTACTTGCTGAATTGCTTGCTTTTCTAGTAGAGATGAAATTTCTTCCTGTAGAATTTATGTGAACGGAGTAACCTTTATTTGACCTATAGGAGGACGTTCTATGAACTCTAAGAGATAGCCGAATTGGATTATGGGGGATTTAGTTTCATCAGGAGCCATCTGTAGGGTGGGTAAAACCTTGGCCCAAAGTTGCCTTTGATAGGCTCCTAGTGCATCCTGGTAATTTGACACCCTCAATAGAAAGGAGGCAAAGGAGTACATTCGTCGTCCCAAGAAGTCAAGCTTTCTGCCTTCATGGTTTGTAGGCATCACTTTGGCTTTAGTCCCAGTTTTGGAGATATTTGTCTGAACGATAATTGAATTGGGAGCTGGATGTTTAGACAGGAACAGGGTGTCACTGCCGTGTACTCTGTAATGCCCCTCCATCCTTCTAGAGATCTGCAGACTCCAAGTGTCCTTAATGATGTCCATGGTGACAGGGATAAATGCCAGGCTGAGAGGGTGAGATCTGCCTTGATCAGTATCACCGAATACGAGATTTTGTTTGGGAGGTGGTGGCTGCTCCACGTCAAGCTGAAGTGACTTGGCCATGCGAGTGAACATTTGTGAATAGGATGTAAGGTCCTGAGATGGGGAGGGTGGGCGCGAGTCTCCCACATCCAAGTCAGGCGTATTGATATTGGGGGGGGGGGCTTCTTTGGAAACATCTGACAAAGGTTCCTCATCCTGGTCAGAGTTAGAGGACCCTGAGGATTCCCTTAGGGGAAAGATAGATGGTGAGGAAGATAAATGGCACTTTTTGAAGTCCCAAAGGTTTCCTTTAGAGAATGTTGACTTTAGGGTGGAATAGTATGGTGCTGAGACGCCAGAACTGCCGTTTTCTCAGGAACTGTAGATTTCCTTGACACTGAAACTATATCTGTAACGTGGTGTCGATCAGAAGCTTGATGTCAAGAGACTTTGGGTATCAAAACTTCGATATTGTAAGTGGGTCGATGTTGACGTCTCAGTGGCGATGGTGATGAAGAAGAGGATGAGGCATAAACACATCTCACCTTCTTACGTCTGTTAAAGTCTTTGAATTCATAGACATGTTTGGTGTCGGAGTCATCACGACCTCGATGGCGTTTAGATTTCCTCTCGATCTCGATGTAAATGGGATTGTCATCCTCAGAGGAATCTCGGTGTCGAGACCTTCTAGGCAGAACGAGAACCTCTTGGTGTGATGTTCAACGTTGAGGGGGAGAAATATGCTTTATCTTTGCGGTCTTTTCCCTGGGAGAAGCGTGATGTAGAGAGTCCTCCAAATTCGATAACCTTACTATGATCGCCCACCTGGTAGAAACAGGGCTAGAATGGGCAGATTCATGGCTAGATATGATATCAGCTTGAATGTGATCCGGAGACTGGGGCAGGCTTGGTATTGAAGCCGAAGCCTGCATTGCTCGGTGTCGAGTGGGAAGTTCTCTCTCCGAAGCATAGTCATGATCAGGCAAATCCCCAGACATTTCCACCAATACAGGAGATGGTACAGAAGCTGAGACTGGGGGAATTTCCCGAGGTTTGTCTTTGGGGGGCTTGTCTTTCCTGCTTTTATTAGATTTTTCAACAATGTTCCTCTTTTTCAGGTTGTCTGCAGTAGAGTGCTTAGATGAGGAGCCCATCAAAGGCTTTTTTGCAGGCATTTTGGAGGATTTCACTGGAGGGGAGCAGGAAGGTAAGGAGGGCAAGGATGGGGTGCCAGAATCAGTACGTGCAGCGGGCGTTAGAGATGGGTTTTGCTCCACATGCATCTTACAGGGAGAAACAGACTTGCTCCAGAGAAAAGCTTTAAGCCTCTGCTCCTGAGATTTCAAGGCTGGCTTTGAAGGATTCTTGCAATGAGGGCAGGAGATGATGTTCTTCCCCCAGACAATATAAGCAACGCTCGTGCCCGTCGTTAAAGGGAATTTTAGATTTGCAAGAACTACACCTCTTGAAAAGTCCCAACGAAGCCATAAACCGAGAAACCCCAAAAGGTATGAGGGGAGAAAATCACTTAGAGAGTAAACAAGTCCAAATCGTCAATCCAAGAGGAAACGATAACTAGTCCGAATTCAGTAGGGTAGAGAAAAGTCCGTATAGAAAAAGGGTGGGAAACCAATAAATGGCCCAATAGCAAACAAAAGGCAAGCCAAAGTAAAAAAGTCTGAAGGTCAGTCCAAAATCCCAAAAAACGGAGCAACATGCAGATAGTAATAGAGAATAAGCCGAAGTCAAAAACAATCCAATTTTAATCACGAAAGAAAGAGAGCTCTAGTGAGGAGGTTCCAAATGCGACGGCGGGAAAAATGGAACTGAGATTGTAGGCGGGTGGAGCATGCACATTAGGGGCAACATACTACTATGTTTCTTTCATTTCAGCTCTAAAATATTCTGAGGATCCAGCACAAGTGCAGTTTATACCCAGTTATGTGGATTCACAGAGGCCACATAGAAGAAACAGTTATATTCAGGGGGTGGGAATGGGGTAAAAATACCTTTGAAAAGCAAATTCCTTTCAAGAGTAGGAGCATAAACAAATTGTGTAGTTAGAAAGGTTATAAGAGATTAGCCCAAATCACAAAATGTCTTTAACAAAATTCCACAGTTGGGTGATATCTTTATTTTTCCCCTCATTCCTCCAACTCTATTGTTTGCTTTGTTTTTAGTGATGTTTACTAGCTGCCTTGAGCAGTGTTTTTAATAGGTTGGGTAAAAATCTATCAAATAAATCAAATAAATAACTAGTTCATGTTTGTTGAAATATGATGACTTTGAGGTAGTAGCTAAATATTCTGAAAGACTCAGGAGCACAGTAATCTTATTTTTCTATGGAAAACCAATACTATGATTTCAGTTGCTAAAATCATAATTTTTTGACGTTTTTAAATAGTCAAACAAGGCAGTAGCAAAAGTCTTTGGTAACATGACCAACTAGTTGATTTTGTTAGAAAGAAGAGAAATGTCACAATTCCCTGAAAGTTGTCTTATTTTCTAGTTATGGTAATATAAGTTTAAACACGTAGAATGTTCAGGTTTCGCCCTATTGTTATGCAGAGTGAGGCAGGTACTTCAGACAGCAGATCTCAAGTGTCATAGAAGGGCTACACATGACCAGTTTTTAAATTTGTTGTTGTTTTAAATTCTTTGTTGCCAGAGATTGAAAAAAAAACTGCTTGTGGGATTTGCTGCTTCGTGTGTGTAAATAATTGGGCTAGCTTTGCCCATCTCTCTGTGTTCCTCCCTCTGTGTGTATGTGTGTGTGTGTGTGTAAACCAGTTTCAACAAGGTTTTGTGTGCTAAGAATGCTTGAGAAAGAATTTAATCATCTCTCAATCCACAGTCATGTCTATTGCTTCACACAATATCATTTCCCCCACTCCACTCTGAGTGAAGTGCTTTTAGTTTTTTTCTGCAGTAATAATACTGAGCTCACTTTTAATTATATGATGGACAGAATCCTGTGTCATTCAGTTACACTTGTGCAAGAGAAATCACATGGGAGTTGGTGGCAATTGCCCCTCCTTAATAAAGTGTTGGCTGTGTGTCTGGGTGCCTGGCCACCATCTTATTAATGAGACAGAAATTTGCCACCAATATTTATTCAGTTTTCTGTTGTTTTAAATCAGAAACAGGATTCTAGCCTTTATTATAACTCTAGAGCAATGGGAAAGATGCGCATCATTTTGGAAGTCTCTTAATCCACCTAGATGTGGCATTTGCCTGAGCTACTGATCCAACTAGTATGTATCCGGCAGCCCATCTGAGAATGGCAGTCTGATTCAGGGAATGCACTCTGGCCCCCACAGCTCTGCCCTCCAATAGAAGGGAAGAGTTGAATGGGCTGCCCTCACCGATCCTCCTATACCCATGGCATCTATTGCCTGAGGCAGCTGCCTTGTTCTCAGAGATGGAACATATTTAATTCTGGGGCTACAGAATCTGGGAAACCCAAACCCAAACCACATCCTTTCCATCTCTGCTAATTTTGCCTAGTGTTGAAAGGCTGTTGTGCCTAAGACAGAAAGGTGGGCAAGTCATGTGGAGGGCAAGCTAGCTTACTGAACCTATCATCATCATCATCATCATCATCATCATCATCATCATCATCATCATCATCATCATCATCAACAACAACAACAACAACAACAACAACAACAACAACAACAACAACAACAACAGCACCTGTATTGGCATAAACCTATGGAATTACAAATGTATGCCGAGCAGCTGAAGTGATATGTACTTTTTTGAAGAGAAGATGCGTATAAATGCTCAGGCATACGGCTGTCAAAGACATTTTGAAATTTGTGTTTGAACATTTCCAAAAGAAAGCAAATGGCACAGCAGTCCAGAGTAATGCTGCTTTTTGGAATATATGCTTGCAGGTCCCTGGGAGAAGGCATACAGTTTTGGAGAGCCAGCAAATAGCCACTTGTGTGTGACAAGGAAGGAAAACAACTGCAGTTTTCAGATATACAACTGTGTTAATAATGTCATTGTCACCTTGGAGGCTCATTTCCAGGTGTTAATATGAAATTTGCCATTCTGCTGGGTCCAAACTTCACACTTGGTTCTACTCCAGTCTACACATCATCAGTGCTGCATAGAAACCTGTGTCTGAGAAGTGGGAGTAATTCCAAAATAAATGTGTTAGACTTAAAGGTGCTACAATACAGTTGCTTTTGTTTCTGTTGCTGCTGAAAGAGGCAGAAGATTAGCCATAATACCAAAAAGAGGGAGCAAAGTTGCCCTTGTCAGATTACCATCATATAGTAATGTAGGTATACTTCCATTATGGGAAAAGGAAGTTTTTTGTGACACATTATTTTGTAATTAATTAATTCCAGTCTCCACTGGGAGAGTGTGATTTGGCCAGCACAGTGTGCTCCTCAAGTGGTACTCACATGTCTGTGCTCTACTAACTATGTTAAATATAATTTTTGAAGGTTTAGAAGAAGGGAATGATAAACCACTTCTTTGCCTGGAAAATCCTGGAAAACGGTAGCCATAAGTCGGAATTGATTTGACGGCACATGATGATGATGATTAGCTTTCCTAGGAGCCGGTTGGTAACCTTCCCCAGCTTAGCAACAGATTTTCCTCAATTCCTGCAATTAACTTTTGTCCCAGGCCCTTACAGGCTATCACCTGGAGAAGTAATTTAACACTTCATTTACATCTCAGTGGGGAAGAATTTGAATACCTGTTACAGTTACAATAGTGGACCCTAGAATTTAACATGCCAGAAATCTTATGAAAATTTTTGATATTGCCTACTTTGGGAGAAGATCTATGGCTTGTCTGTCTGCAGCTTTGTGTGTAGGTCTTGGCAAAGGGTTGTACAGTGGTGCCTTGCTTAACGATTACCTCGTTAAATGATGAAACCGCTTGACAATGAAGTTTTTGCAATCGCTTTTGCGATCGCAAAACAATGTTTAGATAGGGAAATTTCGCTTGACAATGATCGGTTCCCTGCTTCGGGAACCGTTTTTTCACTAGACGATGATTTTTGAACAGCTGAGCGGTGGCTCTAAAATGGCCACCCGTTGTGCAAAATGGATCCCCGCTATGTTTTAGGACAGATTCCTCGCTTTACAGGCACCAAAAATGGCTGCCCTTATGGAGGATCTTCGCTGGACACTGAGATATTGAACTGGTTTCAATACATTTCAATGGGCTTTTTTGTTTCGCTTGAAGAGGATTTCGCATTGAACTGGTTTCAATACATTTCAATGGGCTTTTTTGTTTCGCTTGAAGAGGATTTCACTTAACAGCTATTTCAACAGAACGAATTATCCTTGAAACCTAAGATCATCAAGGACTGCAATATGTTGTTAACTTCTGTCGGGCAGGCACATTCAGGTGGGCAAACAAAATGTGTAAACTAGGAGACAATATCAAGAATTTGGGGTGTGGAGATAGGTCTAAGACAAGTCAGTCTTCCAGGTCAACAGCAAGAAGACTTACAGAGACAGTAGATTCCTTCTCCAGTAGTGTATTTACAAAATATGTACAGCAGAGTTACGTACAACAGATGAAACAATACACTTATCTGTAAAATAAATGGACAGCAGGTTGTACAGCAACTCGCCAACACAATACTGCACATAGCACTGTAGTGCACAGCACTTAAATAGTATGAAACAACCAATCACGGGCACATAACCTGTTGCCCTCTCCTAGATGCTACATCATACCCAATACACATTTCAAGGATTGCATCAACTATATGTGCTGACCTTGTGGCTGCAGACCTGTTATAAAAATGGATGTATAATAGAACACTCTGGTTCATGTACAAAGAGTAAATTCTACTTTATGGGCCATAATATCCTTACAGACAAAAGCCAGATTACATATAGGAACACACCTAGTTACCTGTAGAGAATAAGAATTTCCTCTAGGGGACCAGGTTAGGAAACACTACAAAACTGAGTGTTCATTTTTTAAAAAATAAACTGTCACATTTATATGCAAGTATTCTGCATATAGGTGTGACAGTTTAGTTTAAAAAATGTGGGTGACTAGTTTTTATGGCAATAATGTGCAAGGTGGGATGAAAAATATATGGTGTCAACTCCCTTGGCTACAGCCATATTGTCACCAGCTGTTGCAATCAAATAAATAGTTGTTGGCCATATATATCTCTGATTGCTCACTTGATGGTGGGACTGATCCAGTGGAGAGTATGAATATCTATCAGTCTGCCTTCCTAATCTGTGTCCTTTTTGCTTTGCAGAGGATTTAGTTTTCAACATGAATCAGGGAGGAACAGCAGCTGCAAGGTGTTGAAAGACAAATCCCGATTGGTAGATACAGTCACTTCAGCCGCAGGCTTGTCATCACTGTATATACTGCTAATATATGGTGCTGACAACTATGTTGCCAAGAGATGTCTACTGAGAAAAAAAGAGAGAGAGATATATCATTATTCTGGAAGATAATGCCAAAACTGCAAAAGAAGAATAAGAAGAAAGTAAGTGCTAAGACGGGGGGAGGGGGAGGGATTGGAATCGAAAAGGGCAACAAATAGACCACCTAGGATGAATCAGAATCTACAGTCACAGAATGTGGAGTGGCTGTGGAGGATGGCTAGAGTTCCACGTTTATCCTGGAAGACAGCATAGTTGCTTCAATATTTTGCTTTTGGAAGCCCCTGCATCAAAGAAGAATGTGGCCGTATACCAATCAAGACATCATCCATCCATCCATCCATCCATCCATCCATCCATCCATCCATCCATCCATCCATCCATCCATCCATCCATCCATCCATCCATCCATCCAACCAACCAAGCGGTGGGCAACCTTAGAGGGTCTAACAGCTCATTCCTGTTTCTTAAAACACAAATTTGAGGGCTGTAACAAGGTGCAAGGAGGGACAGATTTCTTTAGAGGTAATTCTGCATCCTGGAGGTTTCTAGAGGTATAAACCCTTCCTTCCTTCCTTCCTTCCTTCCTTCCTTCCTTCCTTCCTTCCTTCCTTCCTTCCTTCCTTCCTTGATTGGAGTGCCAGGGACTATAAACATTTTTGTGGCTCATATGCAGCCTGCACGTTGTGTGCTTCCTACACTTCTCTGTGCCAGCTTTCCATAACAATGCAGTGTGGTCAAGAAACAGAAACCTAGATGAATCTTCACAAACCCAATAGCGGAGCAGGGAGGATTTCCCCTTTCCAGCAGTGTTTCTAATATGAGTTTCCTTCCTTTGCTGGATATAAGAAAATGCATACAATTTCTTTGTGGAGTAGTTTCTGTGGAAGAGCAGGATTAAAGCTTGAAGACACTGCAATAGTGGAAGCTAGATTTGTTTCCCATACCTCCCCCATCTTCAGTAGCAGAGATCCTATACAGATTTTTGTTTCCTTACTGGTTTTTACAGTTTGCAAAGCTTCCCTGCAAACAAACCAATTAATGCAAATGAGTTTGTGTAACAATTTACCTCTTCACTGAACAAAATGTAGAAAGATGAGGCTATTTAGATGTGCAGGCTTTGCATCTGAGAATTTCTTCCATCAAAGGCAGCCAGTGGTTTACTGACAGGAGAATACTTGAGTGCTGGAAAGCTACATTTACAACACTTAATTAAAAGGCTTGTTTCCCTCTTCCCTATTCAATAGCATTAATGCACATGCGATACAATAAAAGCCCCATGCCAAGCTAATTTCAGCTCTGTTAGAAGCAGAGCAACAGTAACTGTTTGGCAAGTGCAGAGGAGAAAATGGGAAGATAAAAGATATTTCAATTTTAAATTTGCATGGGAACGTTATCAATTGCAATATAAAGAGCAGATTTATTGTGTTTAAACAAGGAGAGTGATTACTGTAAAGGCAAGTAAATTGTGTTCCTGATGTTTTCTGCTTTGAGGAAGCCTCTTAATTTCTCACCTCTTTTAAAACTGGTAAATTTGCTGAGGACCCTATTTGATTTATGTTGATAAATCCAAATAGCCCCATTTATTCCACTGGCACTCTCAAGAGGATTATCGTTGTGGTGGGGGCACAGCCTTCATGCCAAGTGTTGGTGCTCTTGGGTGGGGCAAAGTCTCTCGGATAATCCCTGCTACTCTTGATTAGCAGGACCAGCATAGGATTTAGATCTACCATCCAATGAGCAACAGCAGAAACTACAAATCCAGGCAAGAAGAGGAAGCATCTCTTTGAGCAACTATATCCTGCTTTGTGACCTTGTCTCTGTGATGTTGTCACTGCTGTCAGACAGAACCTGCCCTTACCCTCAGGCAGACTCAGGAAGCAGGTCCTGAAAAGGCAAGTCAGTGACCCAGCAGCTTCTACTGGTGGTCCTCACTTCCATCCCTGCGTCCCTTCCCTCCTTTAAAGCCATCCAAATGGGCAGCCAGAACTACCTCCTGTAGCAGTGAATTCCAAAGTTCTACTAAGTGCTGTGTGAAGTGGTCTTTCCTTTTATCTCTCCTGAATCTCTTGCCATTCAGCTTCAGTGGATGGAGCTGAATGGCAAGAGATATACATTACTGGATTACTAGAGAATATTTAAAGGCATTTTATTCTGGTTTGCTCCAGTTTGTTTGTTTGTTTGTTTTTGACAGATTTTCTGCGACCCTTGAAGCAGGTGAAATTAGCCCATGGTTCTGCCAAAATTGCAGGCTTCCAGGAAGACAGAATTACACCTGCATCATCTTCTTCTACTTCCTTGCAAGATATGAGCAAGGTTCTAATAATTTCATGCTCAAGTGCTTTTAATTTTTCTTCTATATTTATGCATTTAAATTTAATTTTTTAATTTCAAAGGACATTTTACCCTGTTTTCAGTCAAAAGGGCTTCAAGAAAGACTGACACACGATATTAAAAAATGACAAGAGAAAAGAAAAACAATGAAGAAGGAAGAGAGGGGAGAGTAAAGTGAAGTCAAATGATTAAACATGGTTAGAGACGAAGCAAAGCAAAGTGTGCTGCTTATATGGTGCTTAACGCTTTCTCTGAGCAGTTTACAATTTAATTATGCAGGTTACACATTGTCCCTCAATTTACTAACCTCAGAAGGATGGACGGTTGAGTCAACTTCGAGCAGGCTGCCTGAGCCCAAGACTGAACTCAGATCGTGAACAGAGCATTGCAATAGTGCAGTTTAACCACTGCATCATGAATCAGGACAAGTCCAAGCTATTTTGCTGCCTGAGGCATAAGGCAAGATGTGCCATTGCCATTCCGTGTCTAGGAACAAGTGTGTTTCCACACTGGCAATGAGACAATCTCTTTCACTGTGGACCACAGGCTGGTTCAGGGGGTGCAGGATGGTCTGTATGGCACACACAGTCCTGTCTCACAAGACAGAGGAGCTGTTCTTGCTGCCGCCTCCCCATCTGCCATACGAAGTTGTTGACTCATCCTGCCCAATGGTAGGGCCAACCCTGAGTAGAGTGTTTTATGTTTTCCCCCTATAATTTTTGTGCACTGGTGCTATTTTCACCCAGCACAAATTATATATAAGATGCAGTTCTGTGCCACTAGCTTAGTGGGCTAGTCACAGGCAAGACATTGAAAAAGAAAGAAAGAAAGAAAAAGGGGAGGGGGGGTCCACTTTCTCAGCAACATGATTCACAATAGCTTGGCTGGATTTGCCAATCAACCAGGATTAAAGCACCTGGGAGTTCATACTGATTATAATTACTAAGAAGGAACAGCTAGAATCCTTTGTGTCACTGATCCACAGCAGGCAGGCATGTTGCAGGCACCTCGTGTTAAAAGCACCAATGATTCCAAGCCTTCTTCCATTAGTAGTTATTTTACACCCTAACCAGCTTCTGCTAGGACAAAATCTCTGTTGATGCACTGGCAATGTTGTCACCTCGGTGCTAGGTGAAAATTCAAAGCTGCTGGCTGTCACTCTCCATATGTAATTTGCACACTTTCGACGGCTTCAGAAGCACTCCTCACATTCAAATGCCAGCGCTGGCCTCAGGCACCTTGTGCTACCTATGGATGGAGTGGCATAGGAACTTTTCAAGATATGAAGGAGTTCACTTTTGAATGAGAAAAAGAAAGACCATTTCCAAGCTATTAACTGATATTTTATTCCAGTGTGAGAATATGATCTCATCGTCCTGCTTTTGCAATGGTTATATTTTCTAGACCAAGGGGAAAGAGGGAGAGAGAATTGCTCTCCAATTATTATAGCTCTGTGCAGTTATAATTTTTTCCAGTTCTCTTGGAATAGGAATGATCATGTTTTGTCAAGTTAATTCTGACTTATGATGATCCTTCTCTGTCCTAGAGACAAAGTAATCAGAAGTGGTTTACTTCATCCTTCTTCTGGGGGCACCTTCAGACTGTGCAGCTTGCCCAAAGCTACTTTCTAGAAGGGGGATACTGACCCTTTTCTCCATCATTGCTTTCTTCATGTGCAGAGCAACCTGTCTGTAGAGGACAGCATCCTGTCCACACACAGCCTCTAGACATTACCAAGAACCATGATTTTCCAGGCTTAAAAGCGAGGGCGGCATGTCATGATGCTTTGAATCTAGTGCGTAAATTCCAGAAGAACAGACAAGAAGCCTCTCTCATGCTGTTGATCGCCAATGGATATGTGTGCCATTCCTAAGAAAAGGACAAGCTCCTCTTTCAAGAACATCTCTTTCCATTGCCCATGAACTGATGCGACAAGCCAAACGTGTCTGTGTTCAATTGGAGGAAGGGGGGAGAGAAAGAGAGAAAATCCATGGGCAGCTCGTAGGAATGTTCTTGATCAGTCTAGCATCATGATATTGGTGTTTATTTCTCTTCTGTTTACCATTGCTGCAACTGTCGTAGGAATGTTCTTGATCAGTCTAGCATCAACTGTGATATTGGTGATTATTTCTCTTCTGTTTACCATTGCTGCAACTGTCATGTCACCTGATTACACTGCTTGACATGAACTTGTCCGTCCGTCCGCCCATCCATCTGTCCGCCCATCCGTCTGTCCATCCATCCTGTCTGTCTGTCTGTCTGTCTGTCTGTCTGTCTGTCTGTCTGTCTATCTATCTATCTATCTATCTATCTATCTATCTATCTAATCATGCTGCCCATCTAACAAACCAGCTACTCTGGGCAGTTTACAACAATACACCAGACAAACTATACTATAAAACTAAACAACTACAACCAAAGACTATAAACAGCTATAGCCACTCTGTGGTAGAACAGCCAGCAATAGGATTGACTGCAATGCATTCTAATTATTATTCTTTCTTTTCCTTCTTTTCTCCTCTCTCCCTTAACTAAGGAGGATCTCCTCAAAAGCTTCCCTAAATAACTCAATTTTTCAGGAGCATTCTGAGAGCTGTAGTCCAAGTAACTAACTTTTGTAAGCTCTTGTAGCATTCACCCTTATCATGTTAAGTAGTTATGAATATTCATGTTGCTGAGAGGCGGAGCCGAGTGATATGTAAAAGAGGCGGAGTCAGAGAGTCAGTAAGAGTCAAGAGTCAGGGTGAGTGAGAGAGTGGCGAAGGAGATAAGAGTGTGGTATTTGGGAGATCTGAGGTGTGATTAGAGTGTAAAGTGAATAAGAACTGTAATGACAAATAGTAGGTTGAAACTGAAGATAATAGAAGTTACCTATGATTAATAATAATAACATCCATAATCAATAAAAACGTTTTATTTAAAAGACAGTGAAGTTTGGACCTGCATCTTCATCCTTCCATAATTAATGTTGATTTAGGGATCAACTGGTGGCAGCGGGGTAAAAAGGAATAGTAGCTTGCCTTTGTGTGCTCTGAGTCTGGACGGTCAGGCAAGGGGCACGAGGGTGAACGCCACAGCTCTGTTCAGCTTGTGTTTGGTTTGGTTATGCATGAGGAGGATCCAGCTATTGGATTCTTGACTTAATGGAAAATGGATGTGCTGGACACAGAGAATTTCCGGCCATAGCCTCCTAAATTGCTTGCCAAAAGCACAGATGTGTATTTAGCTTTGTCTCATGTTGCTGCTGTGTTTCTGGTTTATTACCAGATCAGCTACTCGTGGCATCCTCTGTCTGACTCCTTTCTTTGGAATCAGGCCAAGGAGTTGTCTGTGGTGGACTGCCTTCCTGTCTGCCAGGTGTGGATTCTTTTAAAAGGAGCTCTGACTTAACATTTATGTTCAGTACAGTAGTTTGATTAGTGATTTTCAAAATTGGGTTCCCAGATATTCCATGGATGACATCTCCCAGAAATCCTGGCCAGCACAGCTAGTGGTGAAGATTAGGAACCACTGAGTTAGATCATTCAGAATAAGGGGCAGTTCGCTGCACTGGCCTCTAGATGAGTGTCTGAGTTAGGAGACGTGTATTTCTGCAAAAGGCCAGCTGTCTCAGAGCAAAGGGGCAGTTCTCATGGTAGTTGCATGTTTGTGGGCAGCAAGTTCTGGGCCACATCCTGAAAGCCGGCCTGGTTTCCAGTTCCCAAAACCAGTTATCAATGTCTGGGTGTCAGACCAAAAAGTCCAGTGCAAGTGATTCATCATCTTAAACACAGGGGGACAGGCAGAAGCAAGTTGTCGGACATTCCAGGCTACAGATTGATCCAAGGAGTCCAGGCAAGGCAAAGGTGAGCATGAGTGAGAGATGAGTAGTCTTGACAAAGTATCAGTGCTTACCAAACGTACAGCTCTCAGCATGCCTCCTTTGGGTTTACAATTGTTTCCAAGGGACCTTGAGACGCTAGTTTGCCTGAATCTTCTTAGCCATTGCTTTTCTCTTGGGCAAATTGGCCTCACGTCTGTCCAACCCTCCTCGTTGTCAAATGTCTCACTGGCAAGAACTGACCCTCAGCCTTCCTCAGGAATGCTGTCACCTGGACCACTGGGTTGCTTCTTCACTTTCTCCCTCTGACTGCAAATTATCCTCTTTCCCTTCCAAAGATAACTGATGAAGATGAGTTAGGACAGGAAGATTACGTGAGACTTTGAACTTCTAGTTCAAAAAATACTGTCCACGATCATTTGGTGGAGCATGGCAGAACTCAGAGGGTGGGACCAAGTCAGACCCTCATCGTTTTGAAATGTGGAGCTTGAGAAAATAATGTGGGCCACAAGCAGAGCCAGTAGAATCTGATAGGTTTAGAAGTCAGGACACTTTCAAAAGATCATAAAATGTCTAGAAATTGTTTGATTTAGGGCCTCACTAGGTAAGATGCTAATTCCATATCTAGAATGTGTGCATCTTTAAGAGGAAAAGACTGGCCAGAATGTTATTGCAAAAATCCATGTGAATAAGGACAATCTCACAGGAGATAGAGCGTGTGTGTTACCACTCCTTGTACAACTGCTCTTAATGTCATTGTATAATGCAACCGGATTCTGTTCTATCTGTTTATTCTAACATGGGCTTGCCTCAATCTATATTTTGCAAATTGGCTTTCTTTTGTTTTGTAATTTGTAAACTGGGAGATAGCACATGTTTAGCTTTCATTCCAGATATCTCTGGCAAGTGGCAATGAAAGATTTGCATGCCCAGAGGGATAATGTAAGAGAAAGAAACATGCATTTGCCATAAAGTGTAATCTGAACCAGCACTACATTTTTCATGTGGTGATATTTTAATACTATTTGAAATAGCACTCATGAAATGTTTGAGAAATACAGCAACTTACCAACAACAGCGATGGACTGTTTCAGCACATCTTTACTGTCATTTCCCTTAAAAGTAATATCCTCATTTCTACAAACTCTTTCTGAGATTGACTCCAAAGTTTGCTGACTATTCAGAGTTTAATACTTTTTTCAGGATGCAGGTTTGCTGCATGGGCTAGTAAAAACAACATCATATAATTTGGCTATAGCAATACCAGAGGTAACATGGTTACAGTGCATCCCCACCCACCCCTTGGCCCTTGGCCCACAAGCGGGTATGTAACTTAATTTCTCTTGTTTTTTATTCATTTAATGACTGTCCTAA